AGTTCCACATATAATACGGATGTTCTGATGCTAGGCACGACCGGAAGCCTGTGCCACATCCTTCTTAATTTTTTCATAGCATTTATAATATTGGAATTCATTTTTGTTTTACTTTCTTTTTCAGCAGTCTCACTCACTAGAATCGGAGGTCCATGAGAGCAAAGTGTCTGTTCTGTTCCCCACTGTCCAGCACCTGCAACTGTACCGGTACTGGTGTATAATTCATATGAAAGGAGTCCAGCCGGGTGCGGTGGCTCATGCCTGTAACCTAAGCACTTTCTGGGGGCCCAGTCAGGCAGATCGCCTCCAAGGTCGAGAGTTTTGAACCCCTCAGTCTCACCAAGAGCAAGACCTGTCTTATAAAAATAGAAAACTAATCTGCCCAACAAAAAAATATATATATGATCAGAAAAATAGCTGGGGAAGGTGGTGCTGAGCTCTAGTCCAGCACTTGGGAGGTGAGGCAGAAGGATTGCTCTGAGCCAGGAGTTGAGGTTGCCCGGTGAGCCTAACTGACTGCCACGGCACTCTACTCCGGGCAACGAGAGTGAGACTCCTGTCTAAAAAAAAAAAAAAAAGAGAGGAAAGAGGCAAGATGGAGGGTCAGAAGTGTAATATTTGCTACAACACAAGTAGAGCTTCCAAGAAAAAAGAAGAGTCACATTCAAATGCCAACAAGGATAGGACTGATGCAGGGATTATTCGGTTTTACAGTCTCACGGCGTCATTGGACACTATAAGACAACTTCAGAGGAGTATGAGCCAGAAGCCACCGCAGTGGTTCAGAAAAACATTGGCAGTAGATAATGAAACAATTATGTTTTCATAACTGACAAAGGGACTGGATTATTTTTATCAACTTGAAATATTTCAGTTTCTTTTTTCCTGAAACTAGAACAAGGCGCGTTAGGACGCAAGCCAGAAGTGAAGAGCAGGCAGGTCTGGCGGGCAACAGATTGTTGAACTCCCCACTGCCAAGCTCCTAGGCAGACGTGCCCCAAGCAATCACCTCTGGCACTTGCTCTTGTCTGTAAACAATGACATGATTCTTTTTTGATATCCAAATAATGTGATAGGAAGCTTAGAGTAGATACCACGATGTTCGCATCGTTGCTTTCTTCTGCCTAACGTAGCCTCTTCCTTACCAGTTCCAGCTGTCACAGCTCCAGCTCTTCCTGCACATTCAACGCAGGACTGGGGGATCTGTCCATCTGCAACGACTTCACGCCCTCTCTGACCCTACAATTTGGGAGATTGAGTGGATTTGAATTCTGAGCTCCAAGAGACAACATTTCTGTGTCCTTCTGACCTAATAACACACACACACACACACACACACACACACACACACACACTCACACAATGTAATATTGAGCCATAAAAGGGACAAAATACTGATACACATTACAACTTGAATAAGCTATGAAAACTTTGTGCTAAGTAAATGAAGCCAAACACAAAAGGTTACGTATGTATGATTCCTTAAATGCTATATCCAGAATAGGCAAATTCATAGAGACAGAAAACAGATTAGAGTTCACCAGGGGATGAGGTTAAGGGGAGTAGAGAGTGATTACTTAATGAGCATGGAGTGCTTTTCTGGAATGATGAAAATGTTTTGAAACTAGAGAGAGGTGGCACAATTGAACAACATTGTGAATATACTAAATGCCACTGAATGGTACACTATCATGTTAATGATATGTATGAGAATTTCACCTCAATGGAAAAAAAAAAAAAAGACATGCACTTCAGCATATGCTGGTACAATTTCTGAAATGCAACAAAAAAGAACAAAAATTTAGAAAGTTTCCAAAGGAAAAATAATCTGACTTCTCATCTGCAATACTGGAAGCTTGAAGATAGTGCAATGACATCTGTATTCCACCTGATGAGAAGGACAGTAATCCACAAATGTCACTTACCGTCAGGGCAAGAGAAAGATATTACTAGGTAAGTAATGGTTCAGGGAGTGTATCACCCACAGAGCCCATTTGAAGAAAATTCTCAAAAAAGTTCTCCATCCCTCAAACAACAAATTAATCATAACAAAGATTTCAAGGATAAGGAAAGATAAAGAGTAAACAGTGGTAAGCAAAGAACCACACAACAAATGTGATGAAACCACAGTGGAGATGGTAACATGACTGGGAACTTGTAAGTGAAGTGATAATTAAAGATTCTTGAACTAAAGGAGTCATATTTTCATAGGAAATCTAATAATGGTCTAGAATTAGAAGACGACTATTTCAGCAAAACCTGCAAGCTGGAAGGATGTTACAGGCAGAAGGGTGAGGATATTAAAAGACTGAGCGGGCAGAGAGTGGGCAAGTGAAGGTTCTGCTTGTCACCCTGCTGGAGGGGCTGGTAGCAGTGGTAATCAGGGGGTGAGGGGAGGGGTTGGTTAGAGACAGCATTCAAATATTTTAATGTATTAGTAGAAAAATACATGTGTTGGGATAGTTAGTATTAATGGAATGGAGAAGCACAAAAGAATTTTGAAACTGCTATGGAGGAAAGGGAACGAATGGGTGGCAGCCTGACTCTACCTCTCATCAGAGCTGCCATAGTTAACCATCCCTTCCTGCTTGAAATATTTTCCTTCTTTGGCTTGTGTGCTGGTTTTTCCCTGGCACTGTCTTCTTCATGTCTCTTAATGCGCTCAAACCCTCTGGGAGTTGGTGCTATGTCCTCCTTTCTTCTTTAGCTATTATCTCTTCCTGGATGATTTTAGCTAACCCCATGGCTTTAAGTAGCATGACTGTGCTGATCGTCACGTCTCCAGCCCTGCCCTTTCTCCCGAGCCTCAGACCCGGACCCTATTGTCTATTCGGCGCCTGTTCTTAGGAGCCAGAGTTAATATGTCTAAAACCAAATTCTCGTTTTATGCCAGCTGTCACCCCACACCTGCTCCTTCCCCATGCTTTACCAGCTCAATAATTGTCACCACCACTATCTACCCATTTGCTTAAGCCAAAACCCTCAACGTCACCCTTGATTCCTCTTGTTCTTCATTCTGACACCCAGTCCATTAGCAATCCCTGTCAGCTCTGCCTCCAATATTTTTCCTGGATCCCTCCACTTCTCCCCTTTCCCCGCCACCATCTTGCTTTTACCCTATTGCAAGAACCTCCAAACTGGAGCCCCTCTTCCTGCTATTGCCCTTCTATAAATCGTTCTCCACAAAACGTCTATTCTGAAGTGACCATTAAGAATGGAAATTTAAAACGCCCATCTGGTGGCTTCACGTTGCCCTCCTTACCCTACAAAGCCTTCCCTGGCTCCTTGGCTCTTGTCTTCAGATCTCTTTTTCATTCATTTTGCTTGGGGTTATTGGTTACCAGTAACAGAAATCAACTGACTAATTGATGATATATATTAGAGAATAACAGGTTCCCATAGACCTTTGAGAAGTCCGGATGACCAGGCTTTGAGACTACTTGTCCAGGAACCACGCCCTAAGTCATACCTCCAGAGCTGGTCTAGCGGAAGCTGCTCTGTCACTCCTGGTACAGACACCACAGCTCACACCACACTACCACTGACTTCGGCCACTTGTCCTGCCCCAGAACTGCTGCCACCATGCCTTGGGCAACTGGATGGAGCTGTTGCCTTGACTACCATGGTCAATAGTACAGATTTCATGGTCCCTCGCTCTTCGTGTCGCTTGCTTGTGTTTGAAAGGCTGGGGTGGGTGCCTCTGATCAGAGGATCCTTGGTTATGTGCTGTCTCAGTTGCAAAGGAAAGTGAGTGGCATTTTTAGCTTCTATAGCAGGAAGTAGGCTCTGACTCATAAGGTAGAAAGTTCCACAAATATAATAAGGATGTTCTGATGCTAGGCAGCAGACCGGAAGCCTGTGCCACATCCTTTTAATTTTCTTCATAGCATTTATAATTATTGGAACTCATTTTTGTTTTTACTTGTCTTTTTCAGCAGTCTCACTCACTAGAATGGGAGGTCCATGAGAGCAGAGACCTGGTCTGTTTGTTCCCCACTGTATCCCCAGCACCTGCAACTGTACCTAGCTGGTTATATATTTATTGAAAGGAGGTCAGCCGGGTGCGGTGGCTCATGCCTGTAATCCTAGCACTCTGGGGGGCCCAGGCAGGCAGATCGCTCAAGGTCAGGAGTTTGAAACCAGCCTCAGTCTCAGCAAGAGCAAGACCCTGTCTTTACTAAAAATAGAAAGAAATTAATTGGCCAACTAAAAAAATATATATATATAGAAAAAATTAGCTGGGGATGGTGGTGCATGCTTGTAGTCCCAGCTACTTGGGAGGCTGAGGCAGAAGGATTGCTTGAGCCCAGGAGTTTGAGGTTGCTGTGAGCTAGACTGATGCCACGGCACTCTAGTCCGGGCAAGAGAGTGAGACTCTGTCTCAAAAAAAAAAAAAAAAAAAGAGAGAGAGAAAGAAGGCAGATGGAGGGTCCAGAAGTGTAAATATTTGTACCAAACAAGTAGAGCTTCAAGAAAAAGAGAATGAGTCACATGTCAAATGCAACAAGACTAGGACTGTGCAGGGATTATTGGTTTTGATAGTTACGGGGTTATTAGGACCTAATCAAGAGCAATTTCAGAGGAGTAATGAGCCAGAAGCCACACTGCAGTGGGTTGAGGAAAAAATATTGGCAGTAGGAAAGCCTAAATTATTGTCTTTCATACTGACAAATGGGAAAACTGGATTATTGTTTATCAACTTGAATATTTTCAGTTTCTTTTTCCTGAAATTAGAACAGAGGCCGCGTTGGACGCAAGCTCCAAGAGAAGGAAAGAGCAGGAGTCTGGGCGGGCAACAGATGTGCTTGAATCCACACTGCCAAGCTCTAGGCAAGACCAGTGCCCAAGCAAGTCACCTCTGCAGCTTTGGCTTCTTGTCTGTAAAAATGGACATGATTCTGTTTTTGAAAATATCCAAATAATGTGATAGGAAAGCTTAGAGTAGATACAACAGAATGTTCGCTCTGTTGCTTTCTTCTGCTAATCGTAGCTCTTCCTTTACCAGGTTTCCAGCCTGTCACAGCTCCCAGCTCTTCCTGCACATTCAACAGGACGTTGGGGGGATCTGTCCATCTGCAACTGACTTCACGGCCCTTCTTGAGCCCTAACATTTGGGAGATTGAGTGGATTTGGAATTCTGAGTCTAAGAGAAAACATTTTCTGGTGTCCTTGAAGCCTAATAACTCTAATCCTCAATGGTACAACCTTGAAGAAAAATACAAGCATAGATTCTACCTGACAGAGATGTCTTCCTTGAACATCCGGGATCTCACTATGGAAATAGGTGGACTATATGTAGCGACAATCAAATTCTCCTCAGGAGAATCCCAGCAAGAATCTTTTAGAGTCTGTGTATATGGTAAGCTGTGGGACCATGCCCCAGCCAGGCATTTCAACAACCACTTTATCTAAAGTAAGTTAGCCTAAAATCAGATTTAAAAACCCAACCCTTTTAAGAGAAAAAGTTAAGATCTCCTCTGATATCTTAAATAAAATTAAAGTCTAAAAATCATATCTTGGGCAAAACTAGCCAAAAAAAATTGTTTTTCTTTTTAAATTTTTTTGAGACAGAGTCTTGCTTTGTTGCCTAGGCTAGAGTGAGTGCCGTGGTGTCAGCCTAGCTCACAGCAACCTCAAACTCCTGGGCTCAAGCAATCCTGCTGCCTCAGCCTCCCAAGTAGCTGGGACTACAGGCATGCGCCACCATGCCCGGCTAATTTTTTCTATATATATTAATTGGCCAATTAATTTCTTTCTATTTATAGTAGAGACGGGGTCTCGCTCTTGCTCAGGCTGGTTTCGAACTCCTGACCTTGAGCAATCTGCCCACCTCGGCCTCCCAGAGTGCTAGGATTACAGGCGTGAGCCACCGTGCCCGGCCCAAAAATTTTTAAAAGGTATGAAATGCACATGAAATGAGGAGTGGAGGGAAACCACACAAAACGATTTTAAAAATTCTTCAATCATAAAATACTGCAAAATTGATTATTAGAAATACAAAATGGTATCAGAAATGTCCTAATTTGGTGGTTTCAAAAACTGATTTAAAAATTCTTAAATTCCCCCCAAATTGGCAAAAACAAAACAATAAAACTGGACATCAAGAAAGATGATAAAAACACTAAGAAGGAGATCAACTGTTAGAATCGGTCATTCGGTAAAATGGCTTTAGACAAGTTGACCTAAAGGCCAGTTGAAGAGTTTGCAGGACAAAGCGTGTCCTGGACCCAAGTTGAAGATGCAGAATGTGACCCAGCCGGCCCCTGTCCTCTGGCTCTCCCAAGCCAATGAGCACGCCAACATCCTCCCCTGGGAAGCACAGAGCCTGGGCAGACAGTGCAGCGGAGAAAGCTGGAGGAAAGGGGGGGAGGGAGCAGAGTCTGAGCGTATCCAACATGCCAGAGCTCACTCCTGCTGGTCTTCTCTGCCTCCACCCATCCTCCGTCCTGCATAGGGCATTGCAGGGGCTGCCCAACCAGTGTCTTCCCTTTCTAGATCACCCTCCACACAGCTGCTATTTTGAGCTTTATAAAATGCACATCTCTTCCTGTTATTCCCCTGCCTAAACCCCCAAAACGCTCCCAGCCCTACCCTCCACAGGATCAATAACACTCAGGAAAAGAAGTCCAGTCCCCCACGGGATCTGGTCGCTGGCTGCCCCTCCAGCCTCACTTGCTCACACTTTTCCCCGTGCTCCATGCTCCGCATTTGCTGCCCTTCACCTCCCTCACCTGGCCCTTTCTCTCCTCCTTGACACGTATCGGCGGCTCTCCAGGGAGTATCCATCTCTCACACCTCCCCTGCACAACCAACAATTCCTCACCTCCTGGGAGCAGGTGAGGAACTCCAATGTGGGAGAGGGGAAAGCTTATAAGAAGAGACAGGGTTGACTGAATGGAGCGCCCAAGATGGGATTTCCAGTTAATAAAGGGTGAAGAAAACACCAGCTGCATCCCTGGCTTCCAGCTGCTGGTTCTTGATCTTGTCTCTCTCTCCTCTCCTTGGCTGATAAATTCATTGCATAGCTTTCTGGATAACGTCTAAGCAATACAGTCTCTTCCTATCTCTTTTTGGCAGCAAGAATGGAAAGCTGCTCAAATCAGGTCAATTAAGAGAGGTTTCATCATAAAGATACATAGCTCTCATAGGAGCTAAGATCGATTGGTAAAGGAGTTCCTTTGGCTTTCATGCTTGCAGGAACTGGAAAGCTGATGGGCACTCTCCTCTGTCAGGAGCTCCATAGTCTGCCAAATCTGTGTGTGTGAGCTCTCTCTCTCTCTCTCTCTCTCTCTCTCTCTCTCTCTCTCCCCTGTCAGCTTTATTCTCTTGGGCTTCTCCCATGGGAAGGAGCATGGCCTTTGGCAGCTATGAGTCCCGCCACCCCCCGCCCCTGCCCATCAGAGAGCAAAGGGACTTTCCTTGGCTGCTCCACACAATTCCAGGGAAGGACTCTTGTTGGCTAAGCTTGAGTCATATGCCCACCCCTAGCTTGGTCACTGGCCAGGGGAACAGCATACTCTGACTGGCAAGGCTGGGACTTGTGCTGTTCTCTGTGACCAGGGTCAGGGTGCTAAGAGGGACAATCATATAAAAAAGCACAAGGGTGGGGCAGGAGGAAGTTGCTAGAAGAAGTGGAAGTGCTAGTAGCTGGTTTCTCTTCATCTTCCTTTCCATTTCCCAACAATCCACCAGTGCCCAGATTAAATCATCCAGCACCGCTTGCTCCCTGCCCATCGCCTAAGTATTTGCCCAAACCAAGTATTTGTCTCAGCATTAGGCACTCTCTGGTATCTGATGTTATCCTTCCCCTCGTTTCTACGCAGACAACCTCGTTCCTCATTTCCAGGCTCTTTCACCCTTACCTCTTGGCTTTCAGAACTGCCCTGTCCTAAATAAAGTCTCAACATTTTTTTTTCTAATATATTTATGGGTTTTGCTTCCATTTGTCTTGAACAAGAGTTATTTGTGTGTGGTCTCCTCTTTGCTGGAGACCAGGGTCCATGCCTTACTCTCTTTGGCACCTGCCAAGCGTTTCCTCTGGATGTTATGCCACAGTCAAGACAGCAAAAGAGAGAAGGAAGAGGGGAAAAGGCTTTCTTGTTTTGAGGCTTTGTCTTTTCAGGAGCGAAGATTTTTCTTACTTCATTAGTCAGAGCTGCTACTGCAAGAAAGACCAAGAAACTAATTAGCTTTCCAGACTCTACCATAGGTGAAGGCAAGGACAGAGAGGAAAGACTGGGAATGGGTGTGGAGTGAGCGCCCCATTGGATTGGCCACCTGGCTATTAATGTCTGTTTTACCTGTATTACATCCTCCTTTCTAACCTATTGAGGTCTATCCACCATAGTGAAGTCATTCACTATATTAATAGTGGATTTGATAATTTATTCTTGAATTTCCAGTGGTTTTTTTGGTTCTTATTGTTTTGTTTTGTGTTGCTTTGTAATATTTCTAAGCCATGTTGTTAGGTACATATTAATCTAAAATATCTTTGTCCCACTTAATTTTTTTAATCTTAAATTTTATTTGGTCCATCGTGATTATTGTCACACTTGCAATCTTTGTTACATTTTTCTAGCCTATCTTTTTCTATCTCTTTCTTTTTAATCTTTCTGTATCATTAGATAATAATATATATAGCACACACTGGATTTACCTAATCTCAGAGTCATGGATTTTAATGGGGAGATATAACGCATTCAAATGTATTTCAATTTCTTTCATGCATGGACCTACTCCTGACATCTTATTTAATGTTTTATTTTGTTATTGTTTTTTCCTTTTACTTTGTTGGATCAATAGCTTTTTCCTCTGTTTAAACTTCTCCAATAATTTCTATTTTTATCCTACTGGTTACTAAGCTTAAACTTTTACTTTAGCCTTTACCGATAATCAGTATTTTTTTCTTCCTCTGAACAAAACAAGAATTTTAACATCTTTTTTTGCACTGTATTCTCAACCTTTCCATATTGTGATCATTATATATAGATCTAGATATCAATAGATATTAAAATATAGATACAGATAATCATATATAATGATTATTTATTTATCTAGATTGAGCTGTAAGTTTCACTGACTCCTTTGATCACTGCTATGTCTTGTTTCTTCCTTGCTCTTGAATTCATTTTTAATTTTTTTCCTGCACATCTTTGAGTTTCTTTTAGAGACAGTGATTAATGTCCTGAGCACTTTCATATCCTAAAGTATCTTTGTTTTGCCGTTTTAGTTTAATGCCAAATGGGAAGGGTATGAATTCTAGATTCAAATCTACTTTCCCGCAGAGGTCATGGAAAATCTTTGAGCAGGGTGGCTGAAGGAGCCAAGGAGTCCTGGGAGAGTGGTGCAGGGCCAGGGCAGCCTAGGGACAGTCCAGGAAGTGGACTCACTCTGCTCTTTAGAGGAGACGGGTGGTGAGGGGCTTGCTCCAGGTCCCCTCTCTGAGCAGGAGGGCCTCAACTGCCTACTCCTGAGCTGAGAGGCAGAATCCCTGGGCCAGGTGGATTGGTTACTTCCCCAGAGTTATATTTAGAAAATGGGCAACCTCATGCTACTGCATCATGTGGGTGAGAGTGGTTGTTAAATTTAGGTGAGCCTCCAATCCTGAAGCTCAGTTTCTCTTTTGTCCTCTCTTACCCCAGAGCCCATCCCCCAGCCCCAAATTGTGATTCATTCATCATCCAACACATCAGGCTGGTGCAATGTCAGCCTGGAGTGTGGGACCCCAGGGGCTACAGAGAACCTGGCAATAACCTGGCTGAGCAAGGGCTTCCCCAGGGAGCTGGAACAGAGAGAGACACTGGTGCCAGCCGCCAACTCCAGGAATCTAAGCCTGAGCCTGCCCCTGAGCCGGTTGAATGGGCACCTCACCTGTGTGTTCAGCAACCCTGCGGACCAGAAGAATGCAACCTTAGACCTGGAGACCATCTGTCCTTGGAGGGGTGAGTGTGACCTACTAGGGAGGGTGATGAAAATGAGCTGGCAGAGGATGGGCTGGGGGTAAGACTGGAGGACCCAGGGAAGCGACGGGACTGAAGAATGCTGTAAGGCTGTTCACATGGTGCAACCAGAAGGTTCCCCCTCAGTGAACAGCCACCTCCTCGCTATAGTCTTCAAACATCAAGTCCAGAAGTCAGGCCAATATGTGGAGATTGCTGCATTGCCCATGACATAAATGTGGGACTGGTATGTGGACACCCTTATTCCCAGAATCAAGGAGCAGGGAGGCTAATTAGTCATCAGTATCCAAGCAGGGGAGATTTGAGAACTGAGGCCTGATGAACCCTTAGGGCACCCCATCTGCCCCTAGAACACTTGTTCCCCCAGTCTCAGGCTCTCTCCCTGGATGGGCTGGGCTGGACATGCATGGCCTGTTCAGGCTGATAGATGCCTGGTTTTTCTTTTTCTTTTTCTTTCTTTTCCTTTTCCTTTTTCCTTTTTCCTTTTTCCTTTCCTTTCCTTTCCTTTCCTTTCCTTTCCTTTCCTTTCCTTTCCTTTCCTTTCCTTTCCTCCTTCCTTCCTTCCTTCCTTCCTTCCTTCCTTCCTTCCTTCCTTCCTTCCTCCTCTCCTCCCCTCTCCCCTCCCCTCCCCTCCCCTCCCCTCCCCTCCCCTCCCCTTCCCTTCCCTTCTTATTCCATGCCAGACATCCCCTCTCTGAGAATGGCTATGACCGCTCAGAACATAAGCCACAGTCTGCCTCCTCTGAGCAGTGTGAGTACCTGTGGTCACTGCTGCCATTTACCAAGCTTGCCCCAGTCAGCCTAAGGGGTCACCCAGGCTAAATAACAGGACTATACAGGGTGTGTCAGGGGGAGGGAGCTCTTCCAAAGCAACAGTACCCTCAGGCCCTCATTTCAAAAAATACCAAACCCCTACATTGCCAGGACTGCACAGCAGGAACAACTGATGTAGAAAGGAGGTGTAAGCATCAGGTCAGCTGCCCTGTCCCTCCAATGTCCTCCTGAGCTCTGCTTGCATCCTTGGGGCTCTGCTCTGAACAGTCTCTTCTTTGTCATCTCTTTTTTTAGTCACTCCTCCACACAGCATTCAACCCACAAACTTGCACCAAGTGCCTCCTATGTGTGGGGGTGGGGCACAGTGTAAAATAAGACAAGCCCCTGCCCTTAAGTAACTTACAGTGGGGGCCAGGGGGGACCGCCACATACTGGCCATGTGACCTTTTTGAGCATTTCTATCTGTAAGATGGGTAATACTTCTACCTACTTTGTAGGGTTGTTATGAGGATTAAAAGAGGTAATCTGTGCAAAGCTATCAGCATGGCATATGACATGCAGTGTGTCAGATACTAAATAGAAGAAGAGGAGGGGTATATATTTTTATTTTTATTTTTAATTTTTTAGAGAGAGGATCTCACTCTGTCTCCCAGGCTAGAGTACAGTGACACAGTCAGAGCTCACTGCAACTTCCAACTTTTGGGTTCAAGTGATCCTCCTGCCTCAGCCTCCTGAGTAGCTGGGACCACAGGCATATACCACCATGCCCGGCTCACTTAAAAATTTATTTTTTATAGACACAGAGGTCTTGCTATGTTGCCCAGGCTGGTCTTGAACTCTTGGCTTCAAGCAATCCTTTCACCTCAGCCTCCCAAAGTGCTGGGATTACAGGTGTGAGCCACCCCGCTCGGCTGGAGAGGTACATTTCAAAATACAAAGCCAGATTTAGTTAAGTGAAGTTGAGGCAAACACAAAGTGTGGTCCAAGAAAAAAAAAATTGAGTAACTGCTATAGGAATTGGGAAGGAAGTGTGTCTCAGAGAAGGGAACACCTGAGATGGGCCTTGAAGGATGAATAGGAGTTTTCTTATGGCAATATAAGAAAGACATCCCAGACAATGAGTAGTATAACATTTTTTGAGGTATGGAGGCCCCATATCATTCCATTCCCTCTCCTTCTTGGAATATAGTAACCCTCTGGAAGTGTGAGAGGAGGAAGGAGAGGCAGGCGGAGGGGATAAACAATGGCCCGCCAGCTGGTGGGAGCCCTGAGGTTCCTGTGCAGAGATGGGACAGAAGGCCTGGCAGAAGAAGCATTAAAGTGGCAGTGGACAGTGTGCTGGGAGACTAGAAAGGTGGAAATCCCACTGGGCTGCAGAAAGGATGCATTCTTGGGAGACAGGCCCTGAGCTGGGTGGTCCCACCCCTGCCTGCCTGAGGCAGATCTGACACACCAGCCTTTGACCCCAGGTTCTCCTCAGAGCAAATGGCTTTGGATAGGCCCCATCCTCGTCCTGGTTCTGATGGTGAGCTTGGTGGCCGGAGTGTGGATCTGGAAGAGGAAGAATACGAAGGCTGAGAGAGGTGGGTGCTGGGGGAGGGGCCATGGAGGGATGAGGCCCCAGGGAGGGATGAGGCCCCAGGGAGAGGGACAGGCTGGGAAGGACAGTGGGCAGATAGAGGCTCAGCGGCCTCTCCGTGGATCCCTGGCAGAAGGCTGGGGAGCAGTGCTGGGGGGGGGCAGGTGTGTGAAGGACCAAGAGGAAAGGGTGGTGCATGTCCGAGACACAGCAGGCGTCCGGGACCCGCAGTTACAGCTCAGGGAGCAATAGCTGCCCTCACGCTGGCTTCAATTCCACATACCTTCATTGAGCACCTGCTGTGTACAGGTGGGCCCGCTTTTCTGCCCGAGGAGCCAAGCTCGGCAGCTGCTCCCCATGTCCTTTCCACGGAGAAATTTGCTGACTCACAGACTGGAGAGGTCAACAGCCATGAGCCTCCCTACGCAGAGATCGGCCTCCTGAGACACCCTAAGGTGGGTCTGAGGGAATCAAATCAGGCCAGCTGGGAGGTCCAGGGCACTCTGCCCCGCCGTGAGGCTCTGGGCCCAGTCCTTGCCTTGGGCGATATGGCTGCATGCCTGTGCGCGTGTGTGCTGTGAGTTGTGGTGCAAGGGGAGGAGACCTGCTCCTATAGCTCCACATCCCTAACCTCATCAGGAAAGATGGCAGAGCAGGGCAGAGGGGGACCGAGGCTCAGTGAGGTGAGCGGCTGGCCCACGGGCACACCAGCTTGCAGTGGAGGAAGTGGGACGAGAACCCTAGAGGGACTCACCATCCACCGGCTGAAACTCGGGCCCCAGAAGAGGCAAGAGTGTAAATGACCAGGTGTCAGGTGAGACTGACTGTGCAAGACCCAGCAAGAGTCTTGCAGCAGGGTGTGGAGGAGGCGGAGACAGCAGGCCCCCACCCTGGCCCCTCTGCCTCCTACCTGCCTGAGCCTCTAACATTAATGCCACCACTTTGTGTAAAGGCGTGGCCGCCCCCACTTGAAGCAATGCCGCTGGGAGAGCAGCTCACGCTGGGCTCCTGGCCCTTGGCTGGAAATGGGTGCTATGGTCCCAGATGGAAAGATTCTGCTGAGGGAGGAGCCTTGGTGGGGGAGAGCGAGACCCAGACGAACACTGGGGCTTACCCAGAGAACCTTGACAAGCACAAGGCCGAATGGGGGCCCCTCACTCCCAGCCCAGTGCCCTGTCCACTGTCCCTATCTGCCCCAGTGCCGGTGGCTTTGTGGCTTCCCATCTCAGCCCTTCTGTGTCATTTCCCCACCTGACCTGGGCTGCAGGGGACTCAGGAAATATAAAAACTCCTTGGGATCCAAGCCCCAATACCCCCACCCCCGCCAGAGACACACAGGAGGGGGCCGTATGTAGCTTTGGGATAGAGAAACCAACCTGGTGGCATCCAACCCAGATACTCAGCCCTGTTCCGAAGCCCCCTGCCGCTGGGGAGTCTCTGCCCCTGGGGAGCTCCTAGGCTGCTGGAGAAAATGAGCAGCTCCCAGACACGCAGACAGCACAGAAGAGGGAGTGGGGAGAAGGAGCAGATCAGGAGGGATGGGCGTGAGACCCAGTTCTGACGCTGACTTCTTGTTCAGCCTTGAAAGGTTACTTTACCTCCCTGGGCCTCAGTTTTCTCTTTTATAAAATGTGGATTATGATAATAACAGTAATACCTTACATTTAGCAGGCGCTTTGCAGTTTTCCAGAGCAACTTTGCAATGAGAGCAGTCAAGGTGACTTACAAATTTGTCCAAGGAGTGTTTATCTTCCTATGAATGGAATTATTCTGATCTGGGCTACAGAATTCCATACCAAAACAAGTACAAACCAAAAAAAAAAAAAAAAAAATCCTTGCCCTCACAGAATATGCATGCTACTGGGGGTGGGTGTGGGTAGGGAGAATGACAAATAAAATAAATAAACTATGAAGTGTTAGATGATGATAAATGCTAAGGAGAAAATGCAGCAGGGAATGGAGGAGGGGACATGATGATGGGCTGTCAGAGCAAGCCTCACCGAGAGGAGAGCCTGAAGGAGGTGAGGGAGAAAGCATGTGGAGGTCTTGGGTGGTGGGAGCAGAGGGGTGGCATCCCGGGCAGAGGACAGAACAAATGCAAAGACTTGTAGAGCTCAAGTGAGGCACCTGGGCTGAAGCTAGATTTGGGGGAGTTATTAGGGCTAAGAGACCCAGAACTACTTGGCTGAGGACAAGAAACACATGAAGAGAGGTAGCCCAACTGGCCCTTGAACATAGTTCTTAGAGGCTGAGCAAGACCACTCCTCAATCCCACTTGAACTGTAGAACAACATGGAGGAGAGACGCTTCCACGCACAAAGCCCCAAGCTGACTCCAGAAACCCACACCATCTATGAGAAGATCCGGCTGAGCCCAGAGGCCGTAGGGGATACCTAGACCATGAAGACACTGGAACAATGAGGGGCCTTGGTAAGATCTGCTACACCCCACCTTTCACCCATGGGTCCCACTATGCTTCTTTACGGTGGAGCTGGAACTAGACCCCAAGTCTCCCTGACCCCTCCCACTGAGACAACGGGCAGCAGGAGCTGCCCCCTGGTTTCCCCACGGGTGTGAACAGTGACTCTGCTATTCAAACATTGAAGCATGAAAGGCAAACCCTTCAGCGGTCAGCCGGCCTCTGACCTCTGGCCTTTGACCGACTTAATGCCCATTAGTGCATACTCTTGGTCGGGCAGGACCCGTGCTGGCATGGTCAGGGTGCAGAGATGCTTTCACAGAACAGGGGGGGTCCTGGGCCTGAGAAAGATGAGCCTTGGGTGGAGGACCTTTAAGATGTCGCCACTACCCAGGGACAGAGAGGTAGCCCTTGACTGTGGAAAAGCAGGAGGCCTGCAGGTACAAGATTAGGGGCCCGCTGCAGTGTAGAAGTGAGTGATGGGAATGGGAGGGAATATTTCTTTAGCTCCACTATCTACCAGGCTTAATTCTAAGTGTACTAAATATGCTATCTCAGGATTTCTCAAAATTCAAGTAACTCACAGACCCTTTCCCTTTTATTACGTAACAGAAGTCAAAGGGCATGTCATTGAAATTATGATATTTCGCCAATTTTGTTGCTGTAGTACATGTGGTCTTGTTCCCTATATATCCTCTTACTGGTTGGTTAAAGTAATATGCACAAAATACCATGTTTCCCTGAAAATAAGACAGGGTCTTATATTTATTTTTCCTCAAGAAGACACCCTAGGGCTGATTTTCAGGGAATGTGTTATTTTCTCTTCAAAGACTCAGCTTGCAGCACGCATAGGATGCTTGAGACCTGACAGGGGGAGCCGACCTTGTTGGCAGGGCTGCCCGCACCTTTCCAGTCACCTCTGGGATAGTAGCTGTCGCGATGGGGCAGATGAGAAGGGCTGCTCCTCTTCTTTACTGCTCGGATGTGAAGTGCATGGGTTGTGCAGATGGGTTGTGCAGATGGGTTGTGTAGCCACGCCCATCACTAGGTCTTATTTTCGGGGTAGGGCTTATATTGCACAAATGTTTAGAAATCCTGCTAGGGCTTATTTTATGGGTAGGTCTTATTTTCAGGGAAACACGGTATATTTAAAAACATGCTAAATCCTATCATTTGTAATAGTTTTTCATTTTAATTAAGTTGAATTTCTGTGTAGATAACCATATTATCAACAAATAATTATAAATTTTGCTTGTTTCCAATTTTTATGCCTTATTCCTTTCTTTTGGCTAATTGGGTTGACTAATACCTCGAAAACTGTGTTAAATATTAGTGATGATAAAAGATATCCTTGGTTTGTCCTTAACTTTAATATGAATACTTCCAATGTTTCTCCACCAAGCGTGATGTTGTTTTTTGGCTAAGGCATATATATTTTATCATGTTCAGAAAGTATGTACCTATTCTCATTTTATCAAAAGTTTTACCAAAAATAAAACGTCAAATGTTGTCATTTCCCTTTCTGCATTAGTGAATATATTATTTTTCTCTTTTTCACACATTCATAATATATTAATAGATTTCCTAATATTGAACCTTTCATGTATTATTGGAATAAGCTCCAGCTGATGTATTATTCTTTTAATGTGCTACTGTTGGATAATATTTTTATTTGGGATTTTTGTATCATTATTTGTAAATGAAATTCTCCTGTAGTTTTTTATGTTTTACTTTGTCAGTCTGGTATTTATGTTATGCTTATTAAGAAATCATTTTATTTTCACTTCTTATAATAACTCAATAAAAATTGGCCTTGTAGTAAAAAAATACCCTACTTAAAGAAAAGAATTCCCATCACACAGTGATTTATATTATTTTTATTACAATGTTACTTTAAGATATACAAACATGAAACTATATATAAATGTCTTATGATATAGCTTTTATGTCATAAACTAAAACATGTATATAATGTAAATAAAAAAACTAAAGCAATGAAGCAATGGTTATTTTAACTAATGTTCAAACCTACAAATTTAATGTACTGATGATAGATGTTTTTGTTTTGGTGAAATTTGATGTTAGGCTAGTTTTTTCCTTAAATTCTAATGTCAATGATTTATTTTCAGCATGAAGCTTAAAGCAATTCAACTTGGAGAGGATGGTTTAAACAGCTTTTGAAGATTTCTGTGTCATTTTAGTTGACAGGTTTTCATTATTCCTTCCTAAGAACACCTTAAGCACTGTTCGATTTTACTCTACCCAGCTCCTTGCTAAGAGAAAGAACAAGTCAGTTCACAAGGGGCCAGAGATGCTGATTCCTAAAGGGGAAGGTTGAGGGGCAGAGAGGTGGGGAGAATGACAGAGAGGGGGAGGAATGGGGCCCAGGGAGAAAGTCTGAAGCCAGAACCCTGGAGTCTTTTCTCTCCAAAGTTCTCATAGGTTCTATTAACCCATCTGATTCAAATCATTATGAACTTGATCAATAATTGAAAGAAATTAAGATTTGATAAAATTAGCAAATTCATCAAATTGGGCATTCAGTGATTTGCTCATTTAGGAAATGGATTCTTTGGTAAACTCTCTTTCAGCAAATTAGTTTTAGATGAATTGACCTTTGGACAAATTGATGTGAGCCTTGCAGCTCAATGGTAAGAAATTTGGCGTTTGGGCCACGCTGTCCATATCACAACCCTTCCTGCACTTACTGGCTGCAGACTCTTGACCAGAGACTTAACCTCCAAGTGCCTCAGCCTCCTCATCTATAAAAACCAAAGTGCCTTTCCTCACAGAATCGTTAGAAGAGTCGATGAGTCAATACACTTACAGCACTTAGAGCAGTGCTGGGCTGGCGTTTGCAAGTACTTAGTAGATGTTATTATTGTCATTCTGGGTGTCCCGCCTGATGGTTCATTTTCCCTGTCACCTCTGTGTGAACCATGCACTGGGCAGCCCCATCAGAACTGAGTTCTGCATCCTCAGGTTGTTCTTACGTGGAGATGCTTTAACACAAAAACAAATATAGCCCTGAAAACACCTTGGTTATAAAGTGGTCATCCACAGGACCCAGAATATGCACCTATTAATATTCATATCATTCCCCAAATGAAAGCATGAAATATAAAACTTCTAACAGAGCACTTGCAGACCCTAGATGACAAAGTAAACAGGTAGAGGAATGCCATTCTAGGAGCACCTGACCTTGCAGAAAAGGCTGCAGTCAAAAAAGAGCAGCAGGGGTGGAGTGGGGGTGGGAGGAGCGTTTGATCTATACCTAATCGAAAGCCAATGACCAAGAATGTCACACCACATGGCTAGCCCAGTCTGCATGGAGAGGAGGGAGAAAGGAATGGAATCCTTTTCTATGTGGAATACAAACCATTATCTCAATTCTTTAACTCAGGATTCAAACAATGCCCTAACAAAGCAAAGTCAAAAGGAGTCAAAATATGTTGTTTTCAGGTGAATAGCAGAACCAGACAGAAGACCTCAATTAAAGATGTGGAAAAGCAGAAAAAACAAACATGAGACCTACACAATTATTTGGTCCTCCAAAACAAAGGAAAGGAATATTAGCTTGCACATGACTGATGAAATGGAGAAAAGTAATCCTTTAGAAGAAGTTAGAAATGCAAAGAACAGAATCAACCATATCGATGGCACAGAGGAAAGACAAGATGAGAAAATAATGTAGAGCACAGGAGGGAAGCAACCAGCATAAGACGAGCACTGGACTGATGCAGGGTGGGGGAGGGGGTCAAACATGGGTAACCAGCGTCCCTGAGGAAGAGATGGAAGGAACAGAGAGGAGGAAATACAGTCATCAACGACGTCCATTTCCTCCTCCAAAGCCAGCCCCCTTCTCAGTTACACAACCCTGGCCAGTTCAGGTGTCAAGAAGAGACACCTGGTATCAGGGATGAGGTGAGCATGTGACCCTACTCTGCCCAGTGATGGAAAAGAAAAAGTCTACTGCGGGGTTTCTGAGAATGACTTCCATCCCGACAAGAGGAAGGAGGGAGTCATAGTCTGTTTTCTGTTGCTTATAACGGAATACCTCAAACTGGGTAATTTATAAAGAAAACTAATTTATTTCCTTACAGTTATGGAAGCTGGGCAGTCCAAGGTCGAGGGGGCGCATAAGGTTAGAGCCTTCTTGCTGGTGGGGACCCTTCCCTACAGCGTCCTGACCTATCACATGGCGAGAGGGCTGGGCGTGCTAGCATGCTTGCTCAGGTCCCTCCTCCTCTTATAAAGCCACCAGTTCCCCTACCGTGATGACCCATCAATCCATTAATCTGTGTTAAAAGAAAAACTTTAGACAAATTAAATTTAACAGAATTTAATTGAGCAAAGTATAATTTGCAAAATGGGCAGCCCCCAGAACCAGAATAGGTTCGGGGTGACTCCAGGGCTGCCAGATGGTCAGAAAACATCTGTGGACAGAAAAAGGATCATGACGTACAGAAAACAGGAGTGAGGTGCAGAAACAGCTGGATTGGTTACAGTTCTGTGTCTGCCTTAGTTGAACCTGGTTTGAACAGTTGATGCTGGTCATTGCTGCAACTCTGTGATTGGTACAAGAGTCTGTTTGCACATCCAGTTAGGTTACAGTTCACTATCAATTGAGAAACCTTTAGGCTGAGCTTAAAATACGTAAGGAGGCAGCTTTAGGCTAAACTTAATCTAGCACCCATTCATCCATGCATGGACTAATTCATTCATGAGGGCAGGACCCTCATGACCAAGTCGCCTTTAAAGGCCCCACCTTTCATACTCCACAGTGGGGATCATTTCCAACGCATGGAATTTTGGTGACACATTCAAACCCTAGCACAGGGTGAAGAGAAACTCCTGCCCCACACTGCCCGCTGGCTCCCACCCTTGAATGTGGCTTTGTGAGAACAGTGGTGCCCAGGACTGTGAGAGCCACCTCAGCGCAGAGCCCGAGCGGAGCCCTGGCATCCCTGAGTGCCGACCCAAACCCAGGCGCAGCTTGTCTCTGGGCTGAGAAATTACCGGAGTTGCAGCATGAGAGATGTTACCGATGTGGACAGGTGCAAGGTCTTGCAGTTTGTCTGTTTGTTTGCATTTGCTAAATTATAGAGTGCAGAGGAGTAGTTGGACATTGCTGGACAATTAGATTGAAATTGGGCTTTGGACGTCTTGTTCAAGATGTTCATGGAACAAGTACATGCACGTGTCTCTTATCCCTCCCCAAACCCTTAAAACTATGGGGAACTCATTTTGTTTTAGTGTTTTAAGTCACAACACAAAAGAGAGACTGGGAGGCAGCTCGGCGGCAGAGCAGGGATGTGGGAATGTCAGAGAGAGATGGAGCGGGCTTGCTTGGTGAGGCAGAGCCAGACTCTGGGCCGATCACATCAGAATCTCTGGGGTGGTGCCCGGGGAGCAGTAGGATTTTAATGACCCAGAAGAGTCCAGTGTGTCCAATGCACAGCTAAGTTTGAGAATAACTGATGGAGAAAACACACATGGGGCACAGCAGAGAATAGAACCATCTGCCCAGAGGAACCCGAAAGGACTTGGAACTCAGAGAGGCCAGGTGGCATGTGGGTGGGGAGAGCAGTGGGGCTGAGACAGGGATCCTCATGGGGAAGTCGTGTATGAAGGGGTCAGCCCCCACCCTCTGCCAACTCCAGGCACAAGAACGTGCAGAAGGCAGGCATTTCCTTCTCAGACATCAGCAAAGGAGGGCTCTTCTAAAATAAAAACAAAAAACCCTTGAATGTATTGTCTGGAGAGAACTTGGGCGGCTCGTGTGGGTAATGA